GGAAAGGAAAACTGAGTAATAGGGTAAGGGCCAGGTTTTTAATAAAAAGGAAGTGAAATACATTTCTGCTTTTACTAAGCAGATCTAGTATTTCCCGCCAGCCCAGACTAGGCTTGTGATAAACCAGGAAGATATATTTGTTTCGACTAATGATCAATGGACTAATGACTTTGGTTTTCATGCTGCCAAGGGAAGTGGCAGATTCTGCATTTCTGAATGCCCCCAGTCAGGACAGGTATGGGGAAAATGAGGAGCACTGGAGATGCCCTGCTAGCTGAGGTTCCAAACTAAGTCACCTCATAGCACTGTCCTGCCTTGAACTAACGCATGAGGCTGCGTGTGTTACGTGCCAAACTGAAATAAATAATTCTGCTGTTTTAAGGACATGTATAAGAGCCGGTGAAGGCAGAGGAACACCCGACTAACACAAACACCAGGCACCAGAGCTCTGTTTATCTCCAAGAGCAAAACTTCCCCAGCCACCACTCAGGACAGCTTTCATGTGTCCAGACCCCACCGAGTGCAATGGCTTTCCAAGGCATGAAGGATATAAAATGGGATTAAACCATAGCATAGGCTGATGTCCATAAAAGACAGCCTCAGAGCTAGGTCTTGCAGATGGGAGCTCAAAGACAACCACTTTTCTGGGGGCTGCACCCACCAGCGATGTCGACAAGTCCTGCCCGACGTGAAAACGCTGGTGCCCTGTAGGAGCCACGAGAGACCGGTGCTTACCCATCAGAGACACCCAGATGGACAGAGCTGTTCCATAAATGCTGAAGTACTCCAGGATATCATAGCGCATGAAGCACAGCACTGATAAGCCAGGGCCATCACATGCGTGGTAAATCTATTAAAAAAAAAAATAAAGCATTAAGAAAGTTAGTTCTCTATCCACAGATGGCTAAGGTAAAATAAAATACTTTGGTTTGTATCAGTTGGTTTGAAAAAGCCTTTTCATGGCTGTGGAGAGGATGGCCAGCCAGGAACAGGACAGTCTCATATACACCAGGGTCACTGATATGTAGTAATGAATACATTTGAGAAATAATGTCACTGTTACTAATTGCAAATTGCCTGGGAACCAGCATTCTTCTCTCTTAGTACAAATTATTTGCGGACGAGCTTTAGTTTGCCTCTTGGTCTGTGCCAGAATTTGCAATCCGATGACCATGGTACTTCCAGCCGAGCCCTGGGTGGTGGGGGGATGTCCTCTCCAGCAGAAGAAGGACTCTGAGGTTAAGGTTCTGATTGTGAAAGATTCTTGTAAAAGAATTCAAGATGAGCATCCTGATGCAATGTGTACAGATGCCAGGTCACTGTCCAGGCTCACTGGAGTTTATACGGCCAGAGTCTGAATAGGGGGGAATTCACTCATTAGTACATTCCCTTAAAAGCTACTGCTTCCTGCCCATTAGCTTATTGATTAGCTTATTTGCAAAAAAAAAAAACCCAAAAAACCCCATTGTCATGCAACACAAATGCAAACCGAGCCAAGAGGAATTTTCTAGTGCAATCAGAGCAATGCTCCCAGTGTTTGCCTGGTGCTCGCCTTTTCCTCCCAGCGCTCAGCCCTGCGAGTTTTCTAGTGGTAGCACCAGCGTGCCTTGCTGTTTCTGAAGAAGTCCCTCCACCGCTTGGCAGGAAGCCCTTGGAACAATCCTGGCTGTCATGGCCCAGCAGGGATGCTGATATTATTTATAATGGGAATTGCTGCAAGTCCTTTGGCTGGCTGCGACTCCTAGAAAAGATTGCACCACGGCCGTAATTCTTCTCTCTGCTTGAGATTGGGTTCGGGGAGTCTGGAGATGGGGGGGGAAGAAAGGGTGGAAGATAAAGAGCGTGTTTCTGGCTGGCGTCGCAGCACTTGTCTGCACTGGACGTAGGCTTTCACTGCTCTGATGAGGTCTCCTGGGGGAGCAGGAGTGGGATGCTACAAGAACGGCAACAGCAGCAGCTGCTGCCCTTCCTACCCCCCTGACCATGCTGGCAGCTGCTTTCCCTTCCCTTCTCCACATGCAGATATTTTGCCTCTCCGATCTCTTCGGCGAGGACCTGTTCCCCCTCCCCTCGAAACACATGCCAATTTTCCTACAGACTCCTCGGGGAGGTGGAGCAGACACAAAACCCGTGCAAAATGAAATCGTAGATGTCTGGCTTCCCTGGGGAGCTGGGGGGGTTCACTTGGGACATTTTTATTAACTAGTTTTATGAAACTGGCAGAATTTCCCCCCTGCACTGCACTTTAATCGGAGGCTTAAATGGTGGATCCTCAGGAATAAGAGCCTGGCCTGGGGCAGAGCCCAGCTTTACCCTTGGTGATGCTGTGTGAGACCTTGTCACGCTGTCCTGCCTCAGTTTCTCTGTCTCCATACAAGGGATGTGACAATAACCTTCATGAGATGACTCGAGAGGACGGGGAGAAGAATAAATGCAACAGCAGGTGGGTGGCTGGGCTGTTTCCTTCATATTATTTATCAGAGCATTGCCATGGGGTTAAACAGGAGACTTTTTCCAGTGGAAATGCTGCTTTAGGTGCTCAGCCTGTGTGTGTACAGAGACACTTCACAGCGGCACGAAGCCCAGGGCAGCTTACTGCCAGGAGGAGGAATATGAATTATTTTGTATATGTACAGACAACTGGCTTTCTCCACTCGTTATTCCCAAGCGAGGGAAGGCACTGTGATTCCGAGCCTGGTGAAACCCACATTTTCAAACTGCTCTGCCAGGGTGGAGGGTTAATCATTATTTCTCCTGATAACTCTGCAGAATTTTTAATCTTTCCTTTCCCAGTGCAGAAACTCCCCTGACTCCAGCATTGCTCCCATCCCCACTTAGCAATTGCAAAATCAATAATTCGACTACGTGCTTTTGGCTAAAACAACCAAAGCATAGCAAGAGACTCTGAATACAATTTCAACCCCAAATTCAGCATGGCCACTTACCAGCTGTGAAACAAAGAGAAAAACCAGCTCCAAAACATTGCGAATCAATCACGTCGCTTTGCACCCAGACCCTCTCCCTAACCTCACAACCATAAAACACCGTTAAATCTATGTGAGGCCACCCCTTAGGACATCCCAAGCTGAAAAATCAGCTACTCAGCACTGCATACGATGAGAAATAACTGAAAATGGACATTCTGGGGGTCAGGCTTGCTGCTGTTGGGTGAGATCCAGCCACCCTTCCCCATGGACACCTGATGCAGGGGGCATTGAGGGGGGATGAAACATGCAGAGGAGGGTACGGGGACATCTTACCGCCACGAAGAACATGGTGAAGAAGTAGACCATGGCTTCCATGTGAAAGCGCCGCTTGGCTGCGATGCTGATGGTGGGGAGGAAGACCAAGCTGCTGACGGTGGGCAGAAGGAGCTTGGCCAGCAGCGAGCCCATGGCCGGCGGCTCCTGGGGACGGGGTCTCTGTGAGCTGGATGGGGATGGTGGGGAAAACAGCCGTGGTGTCTGTACTTTAAAATTTAAATGCCCTGCGTGGCTGGGAGGGCTGTGGGCAGGGAACAGCTGCCACCGCCGCAGATGCCCCCTTCG